ACGTATATTAATTTTGAACTTGTTAACATTCCAATGGTTACAAATTGTCTATCAAGTCAAACGATGATGTATTGTTATTGTCGTATGGCGGCGCTGTACCATCAAACATTCATTTTTGATTGGGCGTGGACGGGCGTCACGATCCGGGAGGGGCTGTACATACTTGGAGCCTGGATGGGAGTCAGTTAAAAACTGGACTCAAAAAGTTCTACGTTGAAAGCGGCCCTTGGCTAAAAAAAATTGCGTTTTTCGTGAAAAATTACCTAAATTTGGCTAACATGGCCGAAAATTTTGAAATTGGAGTTCAACAAGATCGGCTTGACCGTGAGGGACAACAGCAACGCATACCGTATACGCCACGGTCTTGAAATAATTTTGGTTATATCCAATCTTTTCATCTCAGACCTATTTACATTCTTTTGGGCGGGGCACGAATTGAATACGTGATCTAGACGATTTGTCACCGAGCGGGCCCGTATTTTTGCTCACTATTAAAAGTCGTCGTGTGTATTTAAAAAAATAATCTATTAATAAAATACTGTAAAATATGTTTAAATAGCTACATACCATTCTAGCGAATTTGGCTCAATGCATGAATTAACGGAATCTTAATTTAGCTAAAGTATCAACAATTTCACTGTGAGAATATGCTTTATTTTAAATTAGTGACATCTTGAATTAGCGAAATTACAGATTAGCTAAATTAGCTAAAATAACATGCTAGCTAAAAAGACACGTTTACAGTACGCATACGACCACGTCTCCATTTTGCGATCATGGTAGCGTTGCATACTTTAATAGATTATTTCATTACCTTCAATATTCACATTTTCTAATTTTCGAAAAATAAAACAAAATATTTTGCAACACGTGTGGTCAACACAATACATGACTCCGTCTAGAACAGTCTTGTCCCCTGAACCAAGACAACGCCCAAAATTATGCTGTACCATTACTTTCACCATCCTACTACAGCCAGATCTGAAGGCCTTTGCCGCATTCTGGCCATGCTGTGTGGCGCGTATCGCGTGGACGGGTTTCATGTTCTCTGCACGTAATAAGCTCGGTTATTAAGCATCCTTTTTTGGGGATGCCCGGTGGCCGAGGGGAAGACGTGTAGTGGCGTGAAGCTAGGCGATTAGGTGCGGTACGCGAGCGCCGGTTCGAGTCACGCACGCAGTACGTGTTTACTATAATTAGACATAGTCTTTACCTTGCCGTTTATTCGGTGTTATTTGCTTACAGAACGCAGTTTGGCGCTTTGGCGTAAAAGAACAAGCCTGAGAACACAGAGTCGTTACGAATATTCAAATTACACTGATCGATTTGTCATACACACGAACAATCAATCTGCTTGTTTATTTCATTCTGCGTGTATTCGTACTCCTGGAACGAAAATAGTAACTCTGAATCAAGGTAAAGTAGGCTGCGGCACTGCGTGTTACGAGTTTCGTATGACAATCAGCGGAGTTGTTCGTGGGTTGCTCGAGATACTATTACTCGCTTCGGATATGAAAACTCGCTTTCGTCTCTTACTATCTGTCACTTCACTTTGGCCTGTCGCCCCTCCTGGAACATAGGCCATCGATGACAGTTCTCAAGCGTATGCGGTCCTGTGCTGCAGTATCTAGCTCTCCCCAGGTGGATCTTGAGTGCCTAACATCATCGTTGAGGTCCCTCCGCCAGGTGTTTTTTGGCCTTCCTCGTTTCCTCTTTCCCTGTGTATTCTATGTCAAGACTTGTCCGGTGATTTTGGTTGGTTGCTTACGCAAAGTTATATATTTGATTTTGTTGAACATTTGAAGGCCGCAAAAATGAGGAAACTTTTTACCTCCGTACAATGATTGCTATACGTGTTCATGCCCCATATGTTTATAACGTTTTTCTTTTCCATTTTAAACGTTTAGTTATATACATACATGTAAATACAAAAATTAATTATTGAAGAATAAAATCTATTCTCTTTTGTGTCGCAGCTAAAATAAAGTGATGCTAATGCTGATCTAAATTATTTGTATGTGTAAGAAAAATACGAGACAAGAGATTTTATTGTCAGTCGGGTCTTTAGTTTATGTAATTTTATGTAATAGTAGTCGAGATTGTGCAATTCAAATTTTTGACAAACTAAAAGAAAATAGACCTCGTCTTCAATGCAATTATTACAGAATTTACAGACTCTGCTTTCATTGGTACTTTTGAAATTCTTTGCCTGCTTTTTTCAATTTCCAAACTATGGTTGTTAAACCCCGAATTATTGTGTTTTCACTGTAGTATATAGCAACCGCTGCTATTTTCCCTATTTTATGTATATTATTTGAAAGATTTTCTCAAAAACACAGATTGACAGTGAATACAAAAAGTGCGCATAACGTAAACGAACCAATTATAAACAGATATCGGCATGAAATAGTGTAACAACCGCATGTGCGCCGAAAATTTACACAATGTAAAAAATGCATGAGTAACATTCTGCAACAAAACAACGACTTATTTGGAAGAAATCGCGATAATCCATGATGTGAACAAGGCCGACAAAAGAACGAAGCAGTCAGAGATAAAATAGTCACCCACGTTTCTTGGTCGTAGTCTCAATGCCAGTAGATTTTTAAATGGCGTTGTTCTTCGACCAATAGATATGGTTTTTGCGATTACACCAAATTTGAAAGGTCACGATGGAAGTCAGGGAGGATTTTGTCATGCGCCCCGGCGTCTGTTCGAATGAGAAGACCGAGTAAATAAAACGTAAAGGGCTCATTAAAGATCACAATACAATGATGGTCCATTTGTTTAAAGAAAAGTGCATGATATTTGATGCCGAATAAGTCTTTTTCTGCAAGAAAAATCCGAAACCTTTATGAGAAAATCACAAATTACAGAGTTTAAAACTATTAGTTAAAATCCACAGAAAAGAACAATCATTTAACCAATTATTTGTTATTATCTTTATTTTGCCAAGACAAGTTAAAAAATAACTTTAAAAATTAACTAAAAATAACAAACAACCGACTGTTTTTGACATTTTACCCTACCATACGTACTGGAGTTAAGAAAAAATAACGTTGACTGAGTTATAGCAACACCACTTCCTGTGCCAGATCCAAGATGTAAATGAAGCTATGTGAAATAGTGTGAACACAGAGGCAAACGAGATTGGATTTCTTGATAAATGGGTTGATGAATATTATCTGTGAAATTCAAATGATATTATACAGCAACCCAGATATGGAGAATGACAGAATAGTCACGTGATATCCGACCCACTCGTAACGCGTTGGCAGTGAACTGAACTGATAAAACTAACATCATCAAACAAATACAAAGCGGTCACATGACACATATCTGACGTAAGACCATACCTGGAAGGGTTGTATTGTATTTCGACGACACGTTAAACCCGTAAGATGTTCACCGTGTGACTTGAAGATATTCATTTGTTTTAATACTGAACAGCGATAAAAACTCGATCACTATGCGTTTTAAAGCGCATTTGTGTTGATAAACATTGATTTTCCCACAATTCAATGCGCTCTTCAAATGGAAATCACAAGTATGAGGTTTGACCTGGGCGCGACTTGCCCTAATTATCGCCGGTGACTTCTTCGATACCTTCCAATCACCTAAAAATACTTAATTAAAGCTTGGTAACATCCCAGTGTGTACTCGTTGATCTGCGCAATAGTCAAAGTCGCCATCTCACGCATGCGTGGCGCGAAGACTACCGCCCTTTAATCTTTTCATACAACTGTTTATGCGTGTACTTCATTTTCCACTGATCTTTGTATTTTCTTTGTATTCAAATACTGTACGATGTGATATCACGGAGAATGTCGTGCAATAACTTTTAAAATATCTACACTTACGCAGTACAATTTTAATAGTGCTTCGTAGAAAAAAACGAAGTCATATATCACCATGACGACTATGTTATTTATTATTAACACATTGTGTATTAACAAATTGTATATTTTTCCCAAACATTGCATTTTCAAATACACCTTTTCTATAAGTAACGCCCTCTAGTCTCAACTTTGGACCATCAAAGCTCAACTGGAACAGAATAGCAGAGTAACTTTTCCCATCATGCCATATAACAAGGGGTCATCGATCAAGGTGTAATATGGCAATTTATATCCACTAAAGTAGTGCATGCTTAGTGAAGTGGCTTAGTGATTACCATGGGAGAAGACCCAAATACGACTTTAAATCACACTATGTAACAGCTGCTTGAATGCATTGGTGTAAATAAGCATCCTGCAAATCTAATGTCAAATATTCCTCTGGTGATGTAGCATCTATATAATATCTTTTTTTATTGGTCAGAACTAATCTACGTATAATCCAGCAATCCCAGTTTCTAACTCGATTTCGACTAACTCCGTTTACGATTTGGAATCTGCTAATACTTTGTACATTATGCAATATTATTGCTTTTAAATCTGCACATCAATGCCCTACTAACTGCGGACCAACGTGAAATGAATACGGCCATGATAAATGATATAAATGGATGAGGAATTAAATGAAACTGATCTGACTAGTACGAAACGATGTGATATGATGCGATTTGATATGATACGATGTGATTTGATGCGATGCGATGCAATGTGATGCGATGTGATGTGATGTGATGTGATGTGATGTGATGTGATGTGATGTGATGTGATGTGATGTGATATGATGCAATGTGATATGATATGATGTGATTTGATGCGATGCGATGCAATGTGATGTGATGCAATGTGATGCGAGGTGATGTGATGTTATGTGATGTGATGTGATGTAATGTGATGTGATGTGATGTGATGTGATGTGATGCGATGCGATGCGAGGTGATGTGATGTGATACATAACAATGCGATGTGATTTTATACGCTGCGATGTGATGTAATGTAGTGGCGAGGAAAGAAATAGTTACCGATTTGTCCCAGACCAAGTTCACATATTCAGCGGAACTCACGTTTTACAATATATAGACAATAGAAGGAACAAAATTACAATTATCAATTGTTTATAATAATTTAATTCATACAAAATATAACTTTTACATTGATTTTTAATGTACAAGATAATGAATGAATCGATCTTACTCCGAATCATTTCTAAAAGAAACTTTGAGAAAATAAACACTTTAAAAGTAGTAGTGATTATACGAAGTTACATTGTGCAAATATGGCAGCGATTCCTTGGTAGGCTGCATTTGCCCCCCCCCCTCTCCTCCTTCGCATGCCTCAAATGTCCACGGAAAACCAGTTTACTCAAAAGTTGAATTACACCAATGATGCCGTACTGAAGTCACTCAAGTAATTTCTGAGCTCCTCTTTTCATACAAGAACTGTAGAGCGCCATCAGCGACGGATATAATGTTTCTGCAAGGGAACGTGGTTGTACTTTGGCATCAAACTGCGTGATGCTGACCACTCTCGACTTGTTAGGTTCCCTAGTAAATATTATAATATGAATGCAATGTTATTTACATGTATGTCATAGCAGTAGTATTTTTGTTTATCGATAAGCGTATGGTTATAAAACCCCAGCTTCTGTCCCAGCTTGTAGTTATCACAAATGTAGAAATGCGCCCGCATAGCGGTACTATTTAGCTTGCAAATAAATCAATCCGCGCGATTCGTTTTCATTACACGGAACAAATCAAGTTAAAGCGGGGGAGTCGTCACCTGCGCATGCGCCAGATGGCCATAGCGTGTCATTGTTTACAAACAAGCGTCTACCCATGAGCCTTTGTGTTTTTAGCGTGTGTTGTTATCGTCGCTTGGGACTCAATTCCCGCGCGTGCGCAGGTGACAACCGTCCAGCTTTAATATAACAAATGATACGTAGCTATCAACTCGGGATTCCAATACATCGCGCCCTCTAGCGACCACATGTTTCACTGACGAAAAAATGAAGCGCTGTCGTTCAACAAATGTAACAAAACCCTAAAAAAAGTTATTGACGGGCGACTACAGGTCAAAGTATTAAGGACGCTGTGAACGTGTGGCCTTCCAGTCATCGGTTTACGTCACAGCTGCGCTTCATCGCTGAATACATTTCTGAGCATGTCAAACCCGCTTTGTAACTCACCCTTCTATTGGATATAGTATCGTTCCAGATGGATAGGTATGGGCTCTCACATACTTCTTGCTCGGGGGACATTTTCTGCAATCCACGCTTACATCTATAATTATAAGTAATATTAAAATTAGTGTGCGTTTCTGGCTGTGTGTTATAATGGTTTGACGTTGACGGGGAGACTCGAGCTCGGGTTGTTATAGAGAGAGGGATTTTCAGCAATTCGTCATACATACAACAACCATTTTTTTTTTCTCGCCTAAGTGAGTTCCACCCAGAAATTAAGATAGATGGTGACCTTTGTGAAATAATACAATATTATTATTTTACCGAGCAAATTATTTGGAAATTCCACTCACAATATGCAAAATAAATTCCCGTTTGTTGAATCTTGGTCACTCCGCATATGTTGCAAAAATCTCTTGCGGCCACCAATCCCATCAAGTAGCCAGGGGACACGATGTGCCTTATCTCCATGTCCTGTTAGGAGAAATACAGTGTAATGTATTAATCCATTCATTCATTTACCTAGACCGGTATAAGTCCGTTAAATGTTTACGAATACAGAACATTATGGGTGATCAAAATGTTATGATGTGCCCTCATTCCAAATATATAACAATTCGTTTGTTTTTACGAAATGAGACGTACGCTCACCTTGTCAAGCGACTCTATCGTGTGTATTTCTTTGGCATTGCTGTTCCATTTCACGTGTTTTATTTTATCGGATAATAACTGACTTGCTGCCTTTGGCGAGACATCAATAATGAACTCACTCCTGTACCTGCAAATAAAATATGTGATCGGGTCGTCAGTAAGTAAGAATCCCCTACATGTACATGAGTTGACTGGCAACAAAACAAACCATTCATCTATTTCATCTTTTGTATTTCCATTTTAATTAATAATTAATATTATATATTATTATACTCACACGTAACCCTCCCAGTCATGTGACTTCTTGTATGAAACCACGCAGTTTCCATTCTAAAATAAACACATAACATAAATTGTTGAATGCAGGCTTCGTGTATGGGTGGATGTGAGAATTATTGAAATGGAGAGCGTGTTTTTTATGTAATTACTTGATTCCTTTCTTTTGTGTCCATGGATGTTTTTTCTTAGTTACAAACACCTTATATATTTTATCTGTATGAACACGAGTCATGTAAACCGAATGACGATAAGGGCGCAGAAGTGACTATTAAAACAATAAAGTATGTCAAGTATCATGTGCACGGGTCCCACGCCCCAAGTACGCACGGTTGTGATTGGTCCGGGTCGGAGTGGCGCTTGTCGCTGTATGTCAACGTTACGGTTGCTGAGGTTCGCAACTCAGGTCACTGGGTCATTTTGTCCGTGTTTGATCGAGTTAGCCTATCTCCGCTACGGATTTATATGATACGAAAGGATGGGTATTTGTTGATGTTATGTTATTAATAATAGTTGGCCTTGCGGTCATGTCTCTTATCTTTTTTTTAAAGCGCGGTAGTCGTCGCGCTGCGCATGTGCGAGATATATGGGTCTCATATAAACAAAGATGGCGACTTTGACTGTTGCGTAGATCAACAAGTACGAACTGAGACGTTTCCAAGCTTTAATTAAGTAATTTTCATGTTATTGCAAGGCATCGAATGAGTCACCGGCGGTAATCAGTGCAAGTCGCGCCCAGGTCAAACCTCATACTTGTGATTCCCATTTGAAGAGCGCATTGGATTGTGGGAAAATCAATGTTTATCAACACACGCAGCGCGACGACTACCGCGCTTTAATCGGCTGCGACCAGACAATCGCGCCCTCTCGCGGCAGAACGTTTCTATGCGGAGCGGAGTGCTGCTCGTAAACAGGGAAAAGTAATGCACGCATTTATTTCAATGCATTTTAAAGAGCTTGGTCACTCCGCCGATGTTGCAAAAATCATAAGATGTACGTTTTGCAATAAGGCTGTGACACCATGACATACAGTACATAATATGTATACTTTTCGCCCGGACTTTTCGCCGCTCTAACGCCTGCGTTCAGAGTTTAAATTGACAACGGTGCAAGAACATCGATATATTTTCGCATCGGAGGGGTGTGTGTGTGGCTCAACTTGATACGTTCACACATCTTGGAGCTGATCATGTTATTGTTCGACCGCTAAGTATGTTTGAACTCGGTAAATAGATATTTAGATAATAAAAAAGTCAATATTTTCCCGTTGCTACATGATTACATACACTGATCATTATCTCGTAAACAAAATGATTATTTTTTTGAAAAAAAAACCTTGTCTAGAAGAAGACAGTCGATATGGTGTCTTATTTCAACTGTATAATATGTTCACTTGTGGTAGAGCTATAAAATAATATTATCAATGTTATGAATTGTTGACGGCTATTCAACATTTGTGGAAACCAGAATAGAATAGGTACGTGTATACATTAGCGATATGGCTGAGACATCATGCTCATTAGTGACGTCATCTCCCAGCGCTCATTAGTTTGTCGTCCACTTCACAGCCCGTGTTATACTCGATATTGAGGGCATTTCGCAGCACATACAAGTTGTTTTTATCGACAGAATTGATTCATAGATCTCATTTTTCATGTACAGAGTGACAAAAGCCAGACCTCTGCTCCCCATTAACGTAACACCTTGAATACCTATTGACATGAATATACCTTAAAGCGCGGTGGTCGTCGCGCAGCACGTGTTGGAATTTCATGTAAATAAACAATGTATTTTACACGCGTTGTATACGTTGCTATGAGTCCCATATCGAACAGGACGCGGCACGACGACTGCCGCCCTTATTTATTGCTTACAAGTTAGTTTTGTCTGTGTTATAATGTAACCACGTAGTTGAAAGACGGAGACTATTGTGCGCGGGTGGCTATTATAAAATCGTGAACACCCTTTTTATTCCAAAATGCGTTAATTCATAACCTATTACAAAACTCGTCGTCATTTATAACAAAATGCGTAAATTATAACAAAATATTGCAGTACAGGGTGAGACCATGGGTGTGCGTGGTCGGACTGAAAAGGTTAATTTAACAACTTTATTCGATGAATAGTATATGACGAAATTAGTTTTCAATTAGTTTGCGCATTTCAGTCAGTTAAACATTAACTACAATGACAACACGTTTTTCAATAGTAGTTTTTGTAGTTTAAAACAAAAACAAATCTCCGTTGAAAATAGCGTAATCAAGTAACCAACATAAAGCTGACTGGTCCCTTACCTCATAACTTGAAGCTTTCCAATCTGAGTCTTGGGCATATTTGAACACAGTTTTCATGCATTCATCTGCGATCATCCTAAAAATACTCATCTTATTGTCGGCAACATCTGCTAAGCAGCGCACACCATCAGTTTTAAAGCTTGTCTATTTCGCGATTTTGACTAATAGTGATTGTTTGAGCTAAACGTAAGTGTCCGTTTTGATTGCCTTCAAGTTGGGGGACCGTCTGTTCATGTTCCTCTCTATTGGTTGGTGATGAAGAATCTGCCAAACATCTGCTGCTGATATTTACATATTCTCCCTATACGGTATATATTTATATGTCATTCAGGGTTAAACCAATCGAAATATGGAGGGGTGGAAGATGGGATTTTGTGGGATATGATTATTTTCTCTGTGTTGATTTGTTCACATAACTAATTATATGCAAATCGTTATAGCTAGATTGTGTTCGGGAAAGCTTTGATAACATAGGGAAAGGCGGGGTGGGGTAAACTCTCTCCCAAATAATGTTACAAAAGTGAATGAAAACAAATACAAGTAATTCGGATTTATATTTTTCGATATTTTTGTTTCAATATAAATGTCACTATGTATAAAAGAATGTCGGGTTTATATTTTACTTTACTTTTCAATTCATTAATATACCACGTGAAGCATCATCAATATACTTCAAGGAAATAACTGACGCCCATGTGTGACAACACGATTTCAACGCTATGTAACGAGCGGCAATATTCAACGAATTACCTAACTCATTTGTGTTTACACACATAGATTCGCTTATAAAATAATGTGACCAATAATGAACGTTGTACACCGCGATAGTACAAATCATGGAGTAGTACCGATGACCCTGTGGTATGTTGATTACATGTGTCCATGACCGCTAAGTAGCTTATCGCAATGATTAGAGGTGATTGATAACGTTGCTGTGTCGTCTTTTGATGGCGATTTTCAAGTTGCGTATTAGGATCATAACAACTTCCAGTACGCTGATCCGGTCATTTGCAGTTCAGGCGAATTTGCTGAGACTTGACTCAACAATGTCATAAGGAGGCTTCTTAACGAGTGGAATTTGAGCGACACAGTGATCGCTCCGCGCCGTGTTCAGTATGGACCACGTTTGACGTATACAACGCATAGCAATATGGGAACATCTGTCTATCATTATTTTTTAATTGACTGCCAATCTTGGTTCGAATTAAATAAGACCCAACTTTGTGCCCTTTCTGTTATTTTTTTAAAATATGTATTTATTTTTATCTTATTTTATTCTATTATTTATTTTATTGGTGTTTTTCAAAAGTTTTGGTAATCGCGAAAACATGTGTATAGTTAAAATAATACAAAATAAGATGCTTGTAATAATAATAACAAAATACAAAATGATAAAAAAGATAGTACTAATAAAATAAACTATATGAAATGTAGAATACATAAGATATTAATCAGATTGTGTTAATTTATTATTCGCAAAAAACCTGTCAAATATTACGCAAACTTTCTAAAAAATGTCAATTTTGTAATACTTTTAGACATGAATAAACACACTGTGAGACAGAATTTCTCGTTTTTTCACCAGCGACCAACATTTTGAGACCTTTTTCTTTTCTATTAAGATATCAATCTGAATAAAATAAGATCCTAGTTTTTTTTTTTTGTTAAAATAAAGCCCAAACTAGGATCTTATTTTAATCAGATTGTTAAGATATATACTTGCTATAAGAAACAATGGTAAAATGCTCTAAAATTGACAAAACATGCTAATTTCATTACATTTTGTGCAACAATTTTCCCTGAACCGAGTACGGCGATCTTCATATTTATATTCCACATGTAAAAACAAAAAAAAATTACATTTATATTTTCACTGTTGCCTAGCGTTCGATTTAATAATATATAAACGCGCAATTAATTTGTTTGACAAAAAAACATCACGGTGAACCCGGGCCAACAGGGTTGTTTTTCTTAAAAGTTGTGATATCTTATACATCCACGGATAGGCGTTCCGTTGATCGTGAGGATGATAACAGAGCATAAATGCTTACTTTGTAAGGAGAAGAACTAGGTTAGGACACCGCCAGTAGGAAAATGTATAAAGTTCGTTGACCCATCCTTTTATGACTTTGAAAACAAAACGACTTCAAGAACTTTGTTGTCACCAATTTCTTTCAATCAAAATTGGTTGTTTGCTTTTGAATCAGTAGGGAGGGTGTCAATGACTTCAATACAGGTCGCTCCATGAAAAATAAAGGGAAAAATAAAAATAAAAAGTTCGGATCAAACGACATACTGTACAGTATCCGCCGTGTTTCGAAAGAGTCGCATGGGGGCGCTGTGTAGCGCTAATTTCGAAAATCAAAATAAACAAGATGGCGTCGACCAACCCGAGTCCAAAATACGTCGATCGCATTTCTGATGGTACCGTTCGTGACTTAAAAGAGAAGACACGAAATCTGCAGACGCTTGGAAATAGAATTGACCAAATAAATCTTCTGGTAAGTGTAGTGACAACGTTTTTACTCTTTACTGTGATTGCGATCTCCGACGATCAACAAAGTGCAAAGTATAATGATCAATCTGATTGTTGGCCCCGCGTATAATGCTGTGTAGACTAGATGTCGTCTATTATCGCGAGATATTGAACAATCTACGAATAATATGGGAAGGGCACTCTGAGTGGCTGGATTCCAGGCTAAGTTGATTGTCACTGGCACACAGAGATGTTTTGAGGTGTAACTAATTTTGCTTCGTACAGTCATGGAGGTAGAAAAGAGTATGTGTATGTGAGTAAACAAATCCAAAGCATCATGAAACCAGCGGAAACAATAGCGTCATCACTCCTTCTCTTTTCTACCTCCATGGTACAGTGCAGTGTGCCTGTCGAGCTGGTGCGATGTGTCACTGGTGTGCGTTAATGTTTTGTGATAAATTGTGGTGCAACTAGTTATGCCTATTACCTGCCAATTATATAAAAACAAAACAAACAAACATATATTGAAATAGTAATATTGAAAAAACACACACAATCTAACTACAGTAGTGAAATTTGTAATATGGTAAACCCACAGTCCTTCAACATCCGGTTGGTAAACGCCTTTGTTCTACTAAGGTGTTAATCCCCTGATCACTGGTAACAGTATGCGTTATGCTTGTGGAGTGAAACCGATGACGTAGTAGCATTTTAGGGGTCTTCTTAAATTTAAATTGTCTTCCGTTCTGCGCCTGTGAATCTTGTGCCTTTTTAATCATGTTGATTTTTTCAACTCACTCTTTGTAGTATTTACATGTACCATTTGAAGGTACAGGAGAGAGAACGCTATTGTTTTCCCATCTTCCATGATCCCTTTGATTTATATACTTGCTAAACATTCCCATAATGTGATTACGTGAATAATTAACATTCAGGTCAGCTTGGAAGCAGTCAGAGTTTTAACATGGAACTGGGGTTTGTAGTTCCATGGTTTTACAGAGATAAATTGCCATCAAAGTCACACAACATGACCAAATTACGGATCCTTGTAAAATAATATTCTATCCCAATAACAAGTTGCCATGATGCTACCAGTGTTCTAGCATCCTATTTTACACACACTGTGTATTTAAAAGTCAGTTGCTTATGAATTGATCAGAAACAAAATGTTTTTTTTCAACATCGCACATCAGTGCGCAGGTATTCGACTGAGCTTATCTGAAAGTGTCTTGTACAAAGCCCCACTTAGACCTTTCAAATACTTCTGGAGACAACAGGGAGCATTTTTGTTTTGTTATACTACAGGAAAGAAGCAGTCTATCGTCTACTGACATTAGAAAGTAACTTTGAAAGTATTTTGTTTCGAGTGGCTTGCCTTGCCAATGACCTATGATGGCATGTGAACCATTCTGCGCATGTATACTGCCGCCTATTTTTTCACGCGCATAGCAAGTTGCAGTCATGAATCTAGAGGTGATTATGGGTTGAAAGTAGACTTGGTCGGTAACGGCAACTCTGTTGGGATTTCGCAGTTTCAGGACTTTCATGTTCAACCACTCGTTTACACAATTTATATTTATTTTTCAAGAATGTTTCATCGAAATCGCAACAGACTGTAAGCAAGTCTAGGTTTCAAGGAAAAATATAATAAGATATAAATTAGATTAAAACCTGTCCTTTTTTATGTCCTTGTACCTTCCATGATGTACATAAGTTACTAATATGAGATATTTTAGGAAGATTACAATGCACAATTAGATACATGGTGGTTTATGCTAGCTCAGGGTTCTCCCCACACCGGACAGCCCTGTCCAGGACTCAGAATTTCCGACCAGGACAAAAAGTTGTCACCGGCACTATGCTACTTGTTTATGATAAACACAGGATGTTGGCCATTGAACCATCCATCATACTATTGTCTTTAACACAATGTAAAAATTAACACAGAACAAAATTTTAATGAAACAAGACATCACTGTTCAAAATCATTGTACGCTTGTGACATCGACCTAATTTATTTTTGTTTCTATCTTCTCCGTTTGACATTCTGTTAGTTTTAACAAACAAACTAGATGGGAATAAGTCATACATCAAAATGGAAGGGAAGGCAATGATAAATAAATAAACAGAAGAAAGGTTTACCATTGCAGTTTAATTTCATGTAGGGTTTGTTAAGTTGAACAATAACTTGCTCACATCACCGAGATGCTGAATTGTTCGAGTTACGAACATCAAGTTATGAACATCGAGTTACGAAAACATTTATTTACAAAAACCATGCCCACTTTTGCGAAACTATGCCCATATTGTGACTTGAAGTTCAATTAACAGTTAACCGAACTTTGAGTTACGGGCAACATAGAATTTATGTTTTGTTTGGCATTGTATATTTCCCGTAATTCGAAGTTCGGTTAACTGAAAATTAAAGTTTGAGTTATTAAATTTGAACGTTCAACAAAAACAAAAATATAGATTGCCCGAAACTCGAAGTTCTGTTAATTGAATAATTTGAGCATGATTCGCTGTGGTGATTGTGGTTTCTGAAATATGGGCATGATCATTTTTGTAACTTGGTGTTTTCATAATTCTATGTCTGTAACAATTCAGCATCTCCACATCACTGGCAGGGATGCGTAAAGCTGTCATTTGTTTAATCTACACTTGCACTCGAGTGTAGTAAATAAGCTCATATTGTAAGCTTCGTTGATGTTTTTCTCTTCATGACTCATTCATAAAATTAAATTCATAAGCTATATTCAGTCAGCGAAACAGGGAATACTTATTTCTCACTATTAATGTGTATTACCAGCGTTCCATTAGAAAAGAAAACAGATTACCCCGGTAATTCCACTTTGGCCATAACAAACTGGTTACGACATGATTGCAAAAATAAAGTGAATATATTTTTTCACTTTTATCAAAGCAGATTAATTTTACATTGCAATTAAGAAGTTAAATTAAATCGTAACTAGTAAGATGGCAAAATGAATATCAATTAGCTCATGAATATTAATTAGCTTATGAATATTAGCAATCGACACTCAAATCAGGCTGGGGAGAACCTGCTAGCTAGATGTTAAGTAACGCTTGGACTGTACTGTAGTCCATCTTTTATTTGAATTTGTGTATATTTCTCCAACATTCAGGTAGTGGCAATTGAAAGATACCAAATAGATGGTCATTTTTATGCAGAATCTGGACAGAATGAGGAGGAGTGTCTTCAAGACTATGCCTACGATATCACATTGACTGACACAACGTATAAAATCAAATGCTTACTTGCATCACATCTCAGCGTGGATATACAGAAGGGACAGGTGAGTATTACAGCAACGTCTGTTTTTAATTCACAGATGTAAAACAAAGATTTCATCACAAATCCCAATAAGCAAGGTTTAGAAAGTTGTTTTTTTTATATCACATGACTGCATTCTAATAAATAATAGTATGATGGTTTTACCAATAAGGATTTGAAGATCGCTCACGCAAACGAGTTGCATCAACAAATGAATGAGACAATTTTTCGTTTACTAACGCAATGACGGTGATTGGCTCAAAAGGAAGCCATATGAATGGTAAAAATTAATGCATTCTGATTGGTTAAATCAAGGAGATGTAAATCTTAGAATTGCTTCAAGGTCAGGGGCCGTACCTTTACAAACTAGGCACGTGCTAGCACAAACTCAGCAATTAAAGCAAGGGATTCGTCACCTGTGCATGCGACAGACATCCATGGCGTTTGTTTACAAACAAACATATACACATGTGCCTTTGCGTTTTAGCATGCGTTGTTATCGTCACCTAAGACTCAATTCCTGCGCACACACGGGTGACGACCTTTCCGCTTTAATAATGATTTATGTTTTTCTAGGTATACGTTGGATGCGTTATGAGATTACTGGACTGTTATGTACATTATAATGAGACAAGTCTTATCGCTGAAAGTTATCTTATTATTAAGGAATGGACATTACATGGTGTACATAGTGGTGAGATGTTGAGAATAGACACAGGTAAAGTTTTCAGTGTGTTGAATTGGTACTTCATTCATTACAAATCGAGCACACCATTACATAAAGGCATGGTAACATAATAACTGAATCGTGACGGTTCCGTCAGCGAAAATAAAGTACATGTATTTTACAGTAGCCATGAATCATGCCGGTGAATAAGATACTGTAAAGTGACTAATTTTCACTGGGTTTAAATTTCACTTATTTACCATTGGGTTTTAAATTCACGGTTTCGTCATTTAGATAATGTGTTCTATGCTAAATTTTACATATTCACTGGGTTTTAATTTAGCGCACTTTCCAGTCAGCGAAATAAGCTAAATTAAAACCCAGTGAATAATTAACCCTTTTACAGTATGAAAATAATGTTTGGACTGGACACAAAAACATTTTTATAACTCTTTGCAGATACCTGAAATGAAAAACATAACATCCCTTCCTCACTTCATAAATAACAGTGTCAACAGGCAATGTGTTGGAGTGAATAATAACAAACAAATGAACATTGACGTAGTAACATTCACCACAGTAACATTCACACATTGTGTAGCACCATGCCATTACAGTTGACACACTGACCATTCTAACTGATCCCAAAAAGTCAACTCGGAATGGCCTACAGTGACTAGATGATCGAAATAAACAAGCTGAATCTTGGACAGCAAATAATATTTAACTATTCAGAAATGTGCTAAATGTCGGACATTTTTTGAGAGTCAAATATTTGTCATTATGTTAATTAATTTATCGATGTCATTCAGGATCCATTCCATTTTGGCCGGGAGCAACCGAACATGAGAAATCTCATCAACCGCTGGCCGTAAGCCGGGAGTATTACCTCTCCCTGTGGAATGATGAAGATCCATACGGACCACAGTGGCACAACACAGGTGAGACGTGATACAAACACAGACAAGCAAAACTATGCAAAAAACAATATTTAGACAAATTTTCTTAGGGCTCTGGACATAATGAATATTCCATGAAACATTTTTTGTTTTGAATTTTTTTTTTTAAAGCCTAATTACATTTGTATTCCGACTTTGTGCCGAAGCTGAATTATTTCAACACATTTTATGTTTTTATTTAGTTCTAGGAGTTGACATAGTTGCAAAGTAGGAATGTAAAATGTATGCACCAATGTGGACTACCGGGTATATCCTAATATGAATACCATCATACTGTATAAATAATAATACTGTAGAATACTTTATTTTCGCTATTTTTGCTAATTTCACTAAAGGGATGATTCCGTGAAAATAAAATCCAGCGAATATACTTTTTTTCCTATATTTCACTAAACTCATCAAAAATCAGTGAAAATAAATTCTAAGCAAAATGCCCAAAAAACCTTTTCAGCGAAAATTAATTCCAGCGAAAATAAAGTATTCCACAGTATATGATGATGTTCTAAAGATCATTAGATTTTTCAGAATTTGTGCTATAACTTGACAATTCTTACAATTTTGAGTGAAAATTTTATAATAATCCTGTAATCATTTTATGCAGGTATTTACACAATATTTTTGGATTAAATTTCAGTGAAACCGACACGATTGTTGAAAACACCGGCCTCTGTGGTGAAAATAGGTAATGCAATTGATAGATGGCAGCGAGGAAGACTGTACAAACCATTTCCCAAAATCATTGGTCGTGTTCTGAGTAAAGCTAGGTTGCATCATTATGGTAGAGTTAGTAAATTTAGAGAAAAGTGGCCATACCAGGTAAGGTAACAACAACATTTTTTAAATACTGTAAAATGACTAATTTTCATTGGGTTAAAATTTTGCTGATTTACCATTTTAGGCATATTAAGTGGGTTTTAAATTCACGGTTTTATCATTTAGATAATGTGTTCTATGCTAAATTTTACATATTCACTAGGTTTTAATTTAGCGCATTTTTAATTAATCCTTTTACAGTAGTTTTGTACCAAGGCAAGTAGTTGGGGTTGTGGTTTTGTGTCCAAAAGTAAAATTGGTAAAGCCTACCAAGCCATAACAATACCGGGTACTGTAAATTGCTTAATTATTAAAAATTGCACTGTTAGAAATTTTTGTAATTTGATGAATTTGCGACATTCATAAAGACTAAATTAAATTTTCCTAAAATTGCTGACATAAATTGTAGGACCCCATAAAAAATTGTCAATGCTACTAAGTAGCACAATTTAATCAGACTCGAAAATTCATGAAAATATGTGTCATATGAAATTAAAGCGTTTACGGTACAAACGTTTCAAGCATAATTTTTGATTTCCAGATTGCAAAGCTGGAGAGATTATAGATTAGTGTAGTTTTATGAGTGCAGTTTTATTTTCTTCATTTGTGTGAAGACATTAGAGACTACAGGGACAGACAGCTATGGGTTTTTTATAACATCTCTTGGGATTCAAATATCACTTTGAATGTTTGACGTGCAAGACAAGTTACAACGCACACTTACAAAATATAAAAAAAAATATTAAATATGATTTTTAATGACCAATAAACTCTGCACAACACATGGACAATTTTTTTGTGACTTGATGCTTGTAAATAACAATTCTTTTCATTGGTTTTCAAACTTAGAACCTGTCTATTTAATAACAGTGTATAAACTATTCTGTTAAGAACATGTTTAAATACAGCATATAACAAAACTACTGGTATGATAAGTACCATTACAAGTATGATATATCAGTTTCTGTGCACACCAAGACACTTATGTGATAGAATGCAATTTTGCCTCAGTGCCCTTTCATTTCTTATACCATTACATGAGGAAATGTTATCAGATTTGGCGTTAAAACCTGATGCTATTTCAAGTCTAGCAGTCTGTTGTCTTAGTGATTCGGTTTCATTTATTTGATGATTCATTTAATTATATCTCAATAACGAGTTGCCCATGAACTAATAATTGCATAAATTCTCTACTGGATCATTAAAGATGAAAACATACTGGATTATTAAAATCTAAGTTATTTTGGCCGTTATAATCACACCTCAAACACCTCATAGTTTCTGTGCCACTGATAGAGCAAATAGAGCACATTGACTTGTGTATTTCAGCGTTCATTTCATTGTGCTTTAACTTAGATGTACCTGGAATTAGCCGACAACACAGGCTGTGTGTCTGTTATATTATGGACTAAACTTGCACCGAAATACTTCAACAGGTTAGTAGTACTAAAATTTGTGTTGTGTTCTTGTATTGTTTTGTCTAAGTCTGGTGGTATAGTGCCCCCTACTGTCATTCTCAGAAATCTTTTTATCTGTGTTGTATCTACAGGTGAACAGGAAAGATATTCCTGTTGTGGTGCTTCTATGCAGTGATATAAACCCCCCCCCCCCATACTGTCATTCTGATCTATCTTTTGTATCTTTGTATATAATCTACTACTAATATATCCTGGGGTTTGTATGCGCTGTTCCCTGTGTGGTGCCCCAGTAGAGTGGTATA